GAGGTATAGCACGCGCGCACGGTCAGAGTTGGCATTTCGTAAAGTGACAAAGAGAACTCCTGCGTGACACGACCGTGAGGTCCAACACCAAAACTTTACTCTGCGTATGGGTGTGGGACCGCCGCGCGTGACAGGTGGCGCCGTTGCCGGGGATCTCGTTTTAAGCCGAGGTCCTTAGTGAACGAACTCGGGTAAAGCAAGATCCAGACAGAACGACAATTATTAAAAATCAGTGATTAACTAAGACTCTAAGAAGGATAAGGTAACTTGGGTAGTGGTGACAAATAATTGTTCCAAGCCAGGGTGTAAGGTAGGGACTAAAGGTACGATTGTCTTACTTATACTAAGAGTTAGCGAATATGACACCTAAGGGTCGTGGGACCGGTACTGGTAGAGGAAGAGGCGGCAGATAAGGAAAGGCGCCTGAAAAGCCTGTGGACTTGATTAAAGAAAAAGGGGATTGGAACGAAGATGATGAAGAGAAAGATGAAGGACTGAGGGCAAGAAGGTATAGGGAGGAGAGGTGAATGCATACCCCAGANAAAGAAAAAGGGGATTGGAACGAAGATGATGAAGAGAAAGATGAAGGACTGAGGGCAAGAAGGTATAGGGAGGAGAGGTGAATGCATACCCCAGACCCTGACGAAATGWCTTATTATTCATATAGGTATGSAAGGCGTTATGGAGAATCCCCACCACGCTTCAGGACGCCTAGTCGCCCCCATCCTGACCCTTATCCACTATCTCAAGAACAACAGTTAGCTATCCTTTCCCCGCCTCACTAACAAGGTCCCCGCGGGGCACCAAGCGTGCCTGATCCTCCTGTAGTTGCGCAGTCTGCGTCTCCTGATAGGACGACATGTATATCGCTTTTAATRTTTCTGCTATGTCAAATAGAAATCTGTGGGTTAGTAACCTACTTACTGTACAAAAAAATTATATAAAGGTTCAAACGATTGAAGRAGATGATTGGCCAGAAAAGGAAACCAGTCAGATCTTGGGATTATAAGTCTATTAGCTAAAATGAAAGAGATGTGGGCTGATTTGTGTTGTGTAGTAGGCGGAGCATATCGAAGAAAAGAAGATGGTTTCTGCCCGATATCAGATCACGATCAGAGAGCCCGTGCAAATGAGACATRGYCTGATGATGAATCTGCCGAGTCGTCATGAGGAGAACGAAGAGACAGGGTATTGTTGGGGGATTTCTGTAGAGGAACAAACTTTCATTTGGATCAAGTCTRGATGGGTTAGAGGCGAAAATCGTGCAGTAGAAAGGRTTACCCTGTATCTTTTATTTTCGGAAAAACTGCAAACTATCATAATAAATTTAGTCTTAGGAATTGATCGATCTCTTTCCAGATTATTATGGATAGCAGAATCCGCACTCGAATCTAGAAGAAGAGATGCAAGTTTAAATGGGTTTGAAGGAGTGATGGGAACT